TATAACATGTAGAAAAATGTGCTCTTCATTTAAAAAAAAAAATTATTTTTCAAAATATTCGGAGTGCTACATGAGTGAACGTAGAGCAATGTTTGGACAGTTTAAGGGTTACAATATTGTTGCCATGTTTTAGTATTGTTGCCAGGTGGTTAAGAGGTTACATACGGTCCTAATAGCCCTAGTGTAGTGGATAGGCTTTAACCCCTTCAGGGTCCAAGGCCAAAATCTGAAGTGGTGCTCCAGTGTCCAAGAAATTTTGAAAAAAAAAAAAAAATTATTTTTTCTTACAGAATTAAAGAGCATATTTTTGTGAAGGTAATAAGACAAAAAAAAAATTCTTATCAGTACTTACCGAGATACAGTGCCAGGAAGTTTATCAAAAATGATGTGGTGGCGGCAAAATCGACGAATTCCACATACGCGCATTACATTATTTAGCGATCTTTATAGTTTTTTCTTTTCTTTTCCAATTTTTTTCTATTCCTACTAACATTTGGGGCCCGAGAGACCAATACTGTATATAATGTATATATATAAACTCACTGTATTGAACACAATAACCGCACTTAATTTATTATCATATTATTGTTTACCACTGTTGTTTATTACAATAAACATGCACAAATATTGTATAATACTAATGTTCTATCATATATTTACATATTTACAATCACTGAACATGTTTTATAGAACTGCTGGAGCTTGTGGAGCTCCTTGAAACAAGGCACCATGCACAGAGGCACCTTACATTCCTCACACATAAACCGAGTGTCTTTGTGTCTTTTTTTGCCGTCATTTTGTTTGTGCACAGACGATGCATCTCTTCTGAGTAAATTTTCTTCTGAGTTGAAGGAAGTTGTATTATGAAATGATCACCTTCCCTCCTCAAACGCTTGGGTATATCCTGAGTAATTCGAGGACCTTGTTGTATAGCAGGTGTTCTTACCTGGTACTTCATTATGAGTTGTCTGACAACAGACAAACAAAATTCACCATACGGTGGTCTGTTGCCAGTCTTTATTTGGTACATATTATATGCATTTGAGCATGAAATGTCCATGAGATGGAAGAAAAGTTTCATGTACCACTTGTAACTCTTACCAACACAGTCAACAAAACCAATCTGCATGTCACATTTGTCAACCAAGCACATGTTTTGTGTATAATCAATCACTGTCACTGGTTTTCGAATATGTTCATTAGTCACTTGATCAACTTTGCCACTGTCTTGCATTTCATTACGGTGAATGGTTGTCAACAATGTGACATCTCGTTTGTCATGCCACCGTAATGCCATGATGTCATTGGCAGTAAACACCTGCACGTCATCACCACGAGCACCTGCGTTGAGCCTGGGCATACGTTTACGATTAGAACGCACTGCGCCACACACATCTGTCTTGTTCACTCGCATGAAATCACTGAGTAATGGCTTGTGTACCAGTTATCGTATATAATGTATGCCCCTTACCAAGATAAGGTGCCATCATGTTTCTCATACGTCACCTGAGATACCCAGTAACATTTTGGGTATCTTTCAATGTTTTACTACCCGTGTATACAACAATATCCAACACCAGGCCACTGTCACAATCACAGAGTACAAACAGTTTTATACCAAAGCGTTTCCTCTTGCTGGGTATATACTGCTTGAATGACAGTCTACCTTGGAACAAAATCAAAGACTCGTCAATTACAAGATTCTTGAATGGATAAAAGTATATGCTGAACTTTTGTTTGAGATACATGAAAAAACATTTCTAATCTTATATAACCTGTCACTTCTGTCAGGCCTGGTTTTGTCAGAGAAGTGCAACATACATAAGAGTAAGATAAACCTGTTCACTGGTATTATTTCACTGAAGACCGGGGTAGAAATTAGCTGAACTGTGGACCAGTATGCTTTTATATTATGCTTATAGACATGAGGCATAAGCATTATTGTTGCAAAAAGCAAATACATTTCTGCAACAGTCATCTCTTTCCACCGGTGTAGTCTTGACTGTGGTGATATGATCGTATTTGCCATGGTGTACTCAAAATACTTATTACTTTCCCTGACAATAGTTTCCATCAATGGCTGGTCAAAGAATAATTCAAAGAATTCCAGTTCATTGGCCGTGGTTCCAAGGGGACAAGTAGGTAGAATTCCACTTTGAGAGTCATCAAAGTGGTGAGGCTTGGGAACAAAATTGGGATTTTGCTGCCAATCCCACATACGGTTTGCTGGTGGATACTGGACATCATAGGCTGGTTGTGCGGGTGGTTGTGGTTGTGGTGGGCTGGTGGCTGACGTTCCACTTTGTCCTTGAACTGACGAGTCAGCAGCGTGTGTCCCACCCTGGGCTGGTGAGTCACGCATGGCGGTGCCATTACCATCACCACTAACACCATCCACTGATGCCTGTGGTCTATCCATGCCAAGTGTAGCCACATCATCCTCACTATCACTACCTAAAACTGGTGTAGGGCCACGGGATGTACTCCAGGATGTACTCCTGGATGTACTCCGTCCCCTGGGCACAGCATAGGGTACACTACCCAAGCGCATGTGGCGGCGAACATACCGATGCTTCACTGGTGAATATGATTCCTCACTATCACTACTCGAATGATCGTCGAGCGCAATAAAATCACAATGCACGTCACTATCATCATCATTACTGAAGTCAGAGGCCTGGCCACGCGAAAATATTAGTTTTCTCCCTTTCGTTGAGGAACAACCGACCGTGAGTCACGAGTGCCCACACCAGAGGTAGAAAGTTGAGGATCGTCAGGGTTTTCTGCACTATTATCGATATCCAGGCCATTCTTTTCGGTCACTAACTTTATCAAAGCCGTAGAATTTTATCTTCATTTCCACTTCCATCAGTGTCAGAACTATCAGATTGGAAGAGGAGAGTCCCAATTTTCCGGGGAGTGAGAGCTGACTTGCGACGAGGCATGGTGAACAAGGGTAACTGAGCCGGCGTTCCCACAATGCTATGCGGGCGCCTAGATTTTTTGTTTATGCGCACACCCACCATGCAGACCCTTCTCTCACATTGTAGGCTTATGAGCGCTTTCGCGCTAAATTTGACGGCGCTAGAATTTTGGCATAGATCTACGGTTTGGACACTCAACGTGAAGCCGTAGATCTACGGGATGGACCCTGAAAGGGTTAAACCTTATATCAACATGTATTGTTGTATTGAGTGGTGAAATATTAATTATTAATGAGGTAATACAGTATTGTATCATGCAGTAGTAAAGACATGTAGTGTAAGTACAGAGTAGCACCAGCTGACAAGTGGAAATAAAGATGGTGACAGCTGGAAGGTCTCACCCCTGGCCAGACTTTATTATGTATGTACTCTGAATAAAGCCCGGCCTTGTCTTGAGAACCATAATAAAAGGTGTCCTTACTACTCGTGTCTTTATTTTTAATTAGTTTGTCTATGAAATTAAAGCTTAGTAGTGAACTGTGTTAGTGTAAGGGAACTACAGTGATCGCTGCTGACAGTGGAAGTACTAACATGATCACTGCTGACAGTGAGAGAGGAGATTCCTTACTCAAGCAGTGAATAATTTTCTTGATGCACTTTCAGAGCACTCTGTGGTATGTTGTGTTCTGTTCTGTATTCTGTTCTGTGTTCTGTTCTGTGGTCTGTTCTGTGATCTGTTGTGGCCTGTTTTGTGTAGTGTTCTGTTCTGTGGTCTGTTCTGTGATATGTTGTGGCCTGTTTGTGTTCTGTGGTCTGTTCTGTGGTCTGTTCTGGGATCTGTGCTGTGGTCTGTTCTGTGTTGGTTTCTGTGGTGTGTTCTGTGATTCGTTCTGTGGTCTGATCTGTGTATGTTTCTGTGGTCTGTTCCATGGTGGTTTCTGTGTTCTGTTTTGTGTTTCTGCAGTCTGTTCCATGATGGTTTCTGTGATTTCTGAGGTCTGTTTTGTGTTTCTGTGATCTGTGTTAGTTTCTGTGGTTTGTTCTGTGTTAGTTTCTGTGGTCTGTTCTGTGATTTGTTCTGTGGTCTTTTCTGTGCATGTTTCTATGGTCTGTTCCATGATGGTTTCTGTGGTCTGTCTTTGTGTTTGTGTGATCTGTTCCTTGATGGTTTCTGTGGTCTGTTTTTGTGTTTCTGTGGTTTGTTCCATGGTGGTTTCTGTGGTCTGTTTTGTGTTTCTGTGATATGTTCTGTGTTAGTTTCTGTGGTCTGTTCTGTGATTTGTTCTGTTGTCTGTTCTGTGTTTCTGTGGTCTGTTCTGTGGTGGTTTCTGTGGTCTGTTCCATGTTTCTTTGGTCTGTTCCATGTTTCTGTGATCTGTTCTATGTTTCTGTGGTTCTGTGGTGATTTCTGTGGTCTGTTCTGTGGTGGTTTCTTTGGTCTCTAGCTCACTGTGGTGTACTTAATATTGTTTTGTATTTATTATTTTATTATTTTGTATTTTATTATTTTATTATTTTGTATTTTATTATTTTCTTCACTCTCTTCGTCTACACCTTTTTGTGTTTTCCAGTTTCTTGCCTCCTACTTTTAATGTTTTTACACATTGTTGTTTGCCACTGCCAACAATCAGTGGTTGTTTGCTTTATGTGAGAGCCAGACATACATGTGGAATTCTCTAGTCAACATTTTAGGTGTTTCTTCAAGTCTTCAATGCTTGAAGCATCTCAAATGTGTGGGCAAGATTCTTCAGCCAGTGACTCCCTCAAGACAGGTGAGCTCTCATAGGCAGTAATATATTTACAGTAATATATTTACTCTATAAAGCAGTTTTACATTCTCTCGTTAACATTTGTAAGGTATTAGTGCCATCAAGCTGTATCAGTGCCATCAAGCTGTATCAGTTCCATCAGGCTGGTTACTAGAGAGCTATTGTGTACTAGCTTTACAGAATCAGGATAATTGAGAGTGATGAGAGTATAAAATATTAAGTCATACTGTGTGTACAGCTGCTTGGTGCATCAGTAGTGTTGTGTATTATATGGAAATATAGAATGGTGCCTTTTAACTGTTTGCAGAAATTTTAAGCTTCTCTCCTTTGGTGATGAAGCTGAGGAGGAGGAGGAGGAGGTCCTTGCTGCTACCAAAAATTTCTCCACTAAAGGCAACTCTGCCCATGACATTGCCATGGACCCGACGCTCTCCGCCAGCACCGGTAGAAGTGCAACTAATGCAACCGATGCGCTTGAAAGGTTAGTTTGTTTTTCTTTCTTATGTGACTCTTACAACCCACTGAAGTTCAACCAAATATATATACAGTGGACCCCCGGTTAACGATATTTTTTCATTCCAGAAGTATGTTCAGGTGCCAGTACTGACCGAATTTGTTCCCATAAGGAATATTGTGAAGTAGATTAGTCCATTTCAGACCCCCAATCATACGTACAAACGCACTTACATAAATACACTTACATAATTGGTCGCATTGGGAGGTGATCGTTAAGTGGGGGTCCACTGTATTCCATGGTTTTTAACCTCAGACTGACTACACATTCCTCAGCATCCCCAACTGCAGTGATACCTCGCAATCTTGCCTGCCATTTTCTGAACCTCACCAATATCCGAACAGGCTTTGGGAAAGGGCAGAATTCTAAAATTATTACCAAAACATCTGAACAGCCGTTCGGATATGGCAGAAGGCTGAGTCAAACTTCACGCACACTGTAGTGTACCGGTTGGCCACTAGGAGCCACGCTCTTTGCCACCCTCTGTGATATCAAGAAGGCTCGTGATAAGATTATAGCCTACACAAGTGAGTTTTCTCCCACCTGAAAAACTGGAAAAAGTACCAAAAAAAAAAAGTGATGACGAAGTCACAGATCATGGAACTTGATCAATGCGTGATGAGGTGGTACCTACAACAACGTGGTAGTGGTATGATGGTTTGTGCTGGCGATGTGCAGGACTGGCTAGAGTGTGACAAAGATGACCCTGGTGTGCAATATTTGATGGATGCAGAGACTGCAAGATCAGTGTTGCACCCAGAACATTCTGAGAGTGACGATGATGATGATGATGACCAATGCCTCCAAGACCAAAAACTTCAGCAGCAAGGGCAGGTGTCGAAACACTTTTGGAGTATTTGGAGCATCCACTGTCCACAGCCTCTCAGATTTCATGAACCACAGTCCAGAGGTCTCTGAAATCTGGGAGGTTGTTATTCGAGCCCAGAGTGTTGGGTCCCACCACCATACAATGTTGGACTCGTTTTTTACACCTACAATGCCATCGCCGATGGCGATATGATTGTATGGATGCACATTTCTTCCCCCTCACGTATCCAGAAACTCTGTGTTTCTGAACTGTTCTCGGCCCATTTTTTTTATTATTTTTTTTTTTTTTTATTATTATCACACTGGCCGATTCCCACCAAGGCAGGGTGGCCCGAAAAAGAAAAACTTTCACCATCATTCACTCCATCACTGTCTTGCCAGAAGGGTGCTTTACACTACAGTTTTTAAACTGCAACATTAACACCCCTCCTTCAGAGTGCAGGCACTGTACTTCCCATCTCCAGGACTCAAGTCCGGCCTGCCGGTTTCCCTGAACCCCTTCATAAATGTTACTTTGCTCACACTCCAACAGCACGTCAAGTATTAAAAACCATTTGTCTCCATTCACTCCTATCAAACACGCTCACGCATGCCTGCTGGAAGTCCAAGCCCCTCGCACACAAAACCTCCTTTACCCCCTCCCTCCAACCTTTCCTAGGCCGACCCCTACCTCGCCTTCCTTCCACTACAGACTGATACACACTTGAAGTTATTCTGTTTCGCTCCATTCTCTTCCACAGTCCGAAACCACCTCAACAACCCTTCCTCAGCCCTCCCGGACAACAGTTTTGGTAATCCCCCCACCCCTCCTAACTTTCCCAAAATACGAATTCTCTGCATTATATTCACACCACACATTGCTCTCAGACATGACATCTCCACTGCCTCCAGCCTTCCCCCTCGCTGCAAACATTCTCACCCATGCTTCAAAACCCATATAAGAGCGTTGGTAAAACTATACTCTCATACATTCCCCTCTTGCCTCCAAGGACAAAGTTCTTTGTCCTCCAGAGACTCCTAAGTGCACCACTCACCCTTTTTTCCCCTCATCAATTCTATGATTCACCTCATCCTTCATAGACCCATCTGCTGACACGTCCACTCCCCAAATATCTGAATACATTCACCTCCTCCATACTCTCCTCCCCCCAATCTGATATCCAATCTTTCATCACCTAATATTTTTGTTATCCTCATAACCTGACTCTTTCCTGTATTCACTTTTAATTTTCTTCTTTTGCACACCCTACCAAATTCATCCACCAACCTCTGCAACTTCTCTTCAGAATCTCCCAAGAGCACAGTGTCATCAGCAAAGAGCAACTGTGACAACTCCCACTTTATGTGTGATTCTTTATCTTTTAACTCCACGCCTCTTGCCAAGACCCTCGCATTTACTTCTCTTACTACCCCATATAGTTCGGATATGAGAGGTATCACTGTACACACTCCTCAGCATCCCCAACTACACACTCCTCAGCATCCCCAACTACACACTCCTCACATCCCCAACTACACACTCCTCACATCCCCAACTACACACTCCTCAGCATCCCCAACTACACATTCCTCACATCCCCAACTACTTACCTCCTCAGCATCCCCAACTACACACTCCTCAGCATCCCCAACTACACACTCCTCAGCATCCCCAACTACACACTCCTCAGCATCCCCAACTACACACTCCTCAGCATCCCCAACTACTTACTTCCTCAGCATCCCCAACTACACACTCCTCAGCATCCCCAACTACACACTCCTCAGCATTCCCAACTACACACTCCTCAGCATCCCCAACTACAACACTCCTCACATCCCCAACTACACACTCCTCAGCATCCCCAACTACACACTCCTCAGCATCCCCCAACTACACACTCCTCAGCAATCCCCAACTACACACCCTCAGCATCCCCAACTACACACTCCTCAGCATCCCCAACTACACACTCCTCAGCATCCCCAACTACACACTCCTCAGCATCCCCAACTACACATTCCTCAGCATCCCCAACTACTTACTCCTCAGCATCCCCAACTACACACTCCTCAGCATCCCCAACTACACACTCCTCAGCATCCCCAACTACACACTCCTCAGCATCCCCAACTACACATTCCTCAGCAAACCCAACTACTTACTCCTCAGCATCCCCAACTACACACTCCTCAGCATCCCCAACTACACACTCCTCAGCATCCCCAACTACACACCCTCAGCATCCCCAACTACACACCCCTCAGCATCCCAACTACACACTCCTCAGCATCCCCAACTACACACTCCTCACATCCCCAACTACACACTCCTCAGCATCCCCAAATACAAAACTCCCACATCCCCAACTACACCCCTCCTTTAGCATCCCCAACTACACACTCCTCAGCATCCCCAACTACACACTCCTCAGCAAACCCCAACTACACACTCCTCAGCATCCCCAACTGCACATTCCTCAGCATCCCCAACTACACATTTCCCCACATCCCCAACTCACATTCCTCAGCATCCCCAACTACACATTCCTCAGCATCGCTAGCTGCACATTTCCCCAGCATCCCCAAAATACACATTCCTCAGCATCCCCAACTGCATATTCCTCAGCATCCCCAACTACACACTTCCCCACAAACCCCAACTGCACATTCCTCAGCATCCCCAACTAAAACACTCCTCAGCATCCCCAACTACACATTCCTCAGCATCCCCAACTACACACTCCTCAGCATCCCCAACGCACACTCCTCAGCATCCCCAACTACACATTTCCCCAGCATCCCCAACTGCACATTCCTCAGCATCCCCAAATACACACTCCTCAGCATCCCCAATTAAACATTCCTCAGCATCCCCAACTGCACATTTCTCAGCATCCCCAACTACACATTGCTCAGCATCCCCAAAAAAACCACACTCCTCAGCATCCCCCAATCACACACTCCCAGCATCCCCAAATACAAATTTCCCCAGCATCCCCCCCCAACTCACATCCCCTCACATCCCCACCAACTACACACTCCTCAGCATCCCCAACTGCACATTCCTCAGCATCCCCCCAACTACAACACTCCTCAGCATCCCCAACGACATTTCCCCACATCCCCACTACACACTCCCAGCATCCCCACTAAAAAAACTCCTCAGCATCCCCAAAATACACACTCCTCGCATCCCAACTCAATTCCTCAGCATCCCCAACTACAAAATCCTCAGCTCCCCAAATCACATCCTCAGATCCCCAAATCACATTCCTCACATCCCCAACCACATCTCAGCACCCCAACTCACTTCCTCAGCATCCCCAACTCAATTCCCAGCACCCCCAACTAAAAACACCTCGCATCCCCAACACACATTTCCCCCACATCCCCAACTACACACCCCCTCCTCCCCAACTACACACCCCCGAAAACCCCAAATACACACTCCCCAGCATCCCCCCCTGCACATTTCCCCAGCACCCCAACTACAAAATTTTCCCAGCATCCCCAACCACATCCTCACATCCCCCAAATCACACTCCCACATCCCCAATAAACTCCTCAGCATCCCCCAAATCACATCCTCACATCCCCAACTACACATCCAGCATCCCCCAAACCCCATTCCCCACATCCCCCCAACACATTCCTCAGCACCCCAACAAAACATCCTCAGCATCCCCAACTACCACTCCCAGCATCCCCAATCACATCCTCACATCCCCAACTACACACTCCTCAGCATCCCCAACTGCACATTCCTCAGCACCCCCCAACTACACTTTCCCACTCCCAACTGCACATTCCTCAGCATCCCCAACTACACATTTCTCAGCATCCCTAGCTGCACATTCCTCAGCATCCCCAACTACACATTCCTCAGCATCCCCAACTGCATATTCCTCAGCACCCCCCAACTACACACTCCTCAGCACCCCCAAACTGCACATTCCTCAGCATCCCCAACTACACACTCCTCAGCATCCCCAACTACACATTCCTCAGAAATCCCCAACTAACACACCCTCAGCATCCCCAACTGCCACATCCTCAGCATCCCCAACTACACATTCCTCACATCCCCAACTGCACATTCCTCAGCATCCCCAACTACACACTCCTCACACCCCAATTAAACATTCCTCAGCATCCCC